AGTAGTAGGCAGATGAATCTATCAACAGTTCAAGAGAAGACAAAAATCCTTAACTATGGAAATCAAAGCATCAAAAAAACCCCAGTAATGTTTCAGTCTAAAGTAAAAAAAATTCTATTTCACTAGTTTAGTCTCATGCATTTGCTCTCTCTTCTACTGGATTTGCAGTGTTACTGTGGTCTGCTCTGCCCATTTAAACTCTGGAAGTTAGCACTCAACTCCAGACTTGTCCCTGCCATGAGGCTGGGCATCCTCTTTGTTGTTTTTGGTACTCTTATTTCTGTGTGTCTGACTTTAGTTCTCCTGGGATAGCACTCCCTTCAGCACTTCTTGGAGAGCTGGTCTGGTGTTGGCAGATTCTTTCAGGTTTTGTTTAACTGAGAATGTTTTTGTCTTTTTTTTTCCCATATGAAAGATAATCTTGCAGCGCATAGTATTCTTGGTTGAAATTGTTTTTCACTTAATACTTTGAATATATTTTCCCATTCTTTCCTTGCTCATTGTTTCTGATGAGAGGTCTGACGTTAGCCTAATGGGATATCCTTTGAAAGTGACTTGACGTTTCTCTCTTGCCAATTTTCTTATCTTATCTCCGTCTGTGGTTTTGGTCAGTCTGGCTATGACGTGCTTTGGGGAAGATCTTCTTGGGCTGATTCTGTGTGGGGTCCTTTGTAGTTCTTGGATCTGGATGTTGAGTACCTCTCTAGGTTTGGAAAGTTTTCTTCCAGGATTTCATGGAATAGATTAGCAATCCCCTTATTAGTTTCTTCACCACCTGGGATACCAATGACCTGGATGTTTGGGCATTTAGTGCTATCTAGTATTACTCATATGTTATTCTCATTTTTTTGAGGGGTTATTTTCTCAGACTTTTTGGTGAATTTTTCTAGGTCAGAGGTTCTGTTTTCTACATCTGAGATTTGATCTGCTACATGATCTAATCTGCTTTTAATATTTTCAAGGGAGGTTTTGATTTCCTGAATTACAGTCTCCATCTCTAACAATTGCGTTTGATTCTTTATTATGATGTGTCTCTGCTCTTTCAGATCCTGCAGGAACTTCCTCACCTCCTGGAACTCGGCTCTTTCCTCCTGCCCCTTTTGGAATTTGTTGCCTCTCCTCCTCTCTCGCATCTCTGTTAGGTTTATCACTATGATATTCTAAAATTTTTTTTTTTTGAGAGGTTTTCGCTATAGGGCACGTGTGCTCACCAGACAGAGAGACAGAGAGACAGAACGTGAGAAATCACCCCCCGGGGATGGCCACACTGCAATCCCTTCTCCTCCATTCTCCTCTCGGGATCTTGGACAGGCATGCACAAGCACCCGGCATGAGTTTTAAGCCACCGGGACCGGGACGCGAAGTGCGGTCAACTACATGGGAGTCCAGCGACATAGCCATTACGCTAACTGCTGGTCCCAATATTCTAAATTCTTTATCTGACATTTCCATGAGTTCTCCTGTATTGTCTGTGGAGGAAGAAGAGTTATTCTTTTCCCTTACGGGAGAGATATTTTCTTGTTTTTATTCATATTTCTTGTACCTCTGCAGTGGTTTCTGGCCATCTGATCGATTGTCCATCTTTTTCCCTAGTTTTTTGAGTTAAATCTGAGCATTCAAAGGAATGCAAGAAGTTACCTGCAATCTCTAAAAAGTACCGTTTTTCTCTCTTTGTGCAGCTGATTTAAGGAAATATTTGAGGATTATATTAACCCTAAAAGGGTTAGATATTTGGCTATTGAGCACCTTGACTTGCCTAGAAAATCAGTGTGTGGAGGCTGAGCAGAAAAGTGAAAAGGGGGGGGAAAATAAAAGGAAAATGAAAATAAAAATAAAAAAAAACAAGGAAAAATGAAAAAAAACATTTAGCCATTACGCTAACTGCTGGTCCCAATATTCTAAATTCTTTATCTGACATTTCCATGAGTTCTCCTGTATTGTCTGTGGAGGAAGAAGAGTTATTCTTTTCCCTTACGGGAGAGATATTTTCTTGTTTTTATTCATATTTCTTGTACCTCTGCAGTGGTTTCTGGCCATCTGATCGATTGTCCATCTTTTTCCCTAGTTTTTTGAGTTAAATCTGAGCATTCAAAGGAATGCAAGAAGTTACCTGCAATCTCTAAAAAGTACCGTTTTTCTCTCTTTGTGCAGCTGATTTAAGGAAATATTTGAGGATTATATTAACCCTAAAAGGGTTAGATATTTGGCTATTGAGCACCTTGACTTGCCTAGAAAATCAGTGTGTGGAGGCTGAGCAGAAAAGTGAAAAGGGGGGGGAAAATAAAAGGAAAATGAAAATAAAAATAAAAAAAAACAAGGAAAAATGAAAAAAAAAATTTAAGCAAAAAATAAAAACTGCACCTCCATTCCCGTTCAGACCTCAAATATAGATGGCTGCTGATTGGCTTGTCCTATGGGGGAAGGGGAAAGGTAAGGATTAGCAAGACAAAATAGCTAAGAAGTTTTTAAAAAAAAAAGAGAGGAGAGAGACAGAATAAAGAGGGTGTTCTAATCTGGCTCCTGGCTAGATCTGGGGGACTGGAGGGTGAAGTCTGGGCAGGTCTTTCATGGCCCTAATCTGCAATTTTTTAAAGAGAGATTTTTGCTATAGGCCACCTGTGCTCTCTGGAAAGACAGAAAGCGAGACAATCCCTTCTCCAAATTTTGATCACGAAGTCCGTGAGTTTTAAGCCACTGGGTCTGGGATTTGAACCACAGTTGACTACGTGGGAGTCCAGCGATGTAATCACTATGCCATCTGCTGGTTCTAGTGTAGAGTCCAAAGATAGATTTATCCGGTGACACAATCGGCCTATACTAACTCAGTCTAACATATGCTAATTCAGCCTAACACCAGTAATTATTTTTTCAATGGTTTCAAGAAAAAGCCCAATTTGGCAGCTACGATGCTATTGCGCCTTCTCAAGTTCCTGTGGGTGTAGGAGTTCTGGGGAATTAGGTTTCCAGAATTTTCTCATCCAGAGACTTACGGGCCCAGCGAGAGTTTGGTTAGTACGACGATTAAGACAAGCCTTTGTCTGCTTTAGCTTGTTCGCTTCTTCCCATTTCCCACACTTGCCTGGGCGCCTGTTAGGAATACAGATTTCTGGGCCTTTCTAATTCTGCAAGTCTGTGATGGAGCTCCGGGAATATAAGCTTTCAGCGACACTACGTAGGCATGCTTATGACTAGGAAGTCTGGGGCTGTCCCTTCAAACTCCCCACCTTTAACTCCCCTACACCTGGAGTTGCGGCGGACCTGGAAAGCTCTGCGGGGAGCCCATGCGGCCGGCAGGTGGCGCCAGCTTACCATAAGCCGGGTGGGCGCGTCTTCCTAGGGAGAAGCGAGAAGCTCCGGGAGAACGGATTTGCGTCCTTGTCAAAGCCACTGTCACTGTAACCCTGGCAAGGCGGCGAGCGTGAGTACTGTGGGGAGGCATAGAAGGTGCCCCGGCTGCTTTTTAGAATATGTGCACCCGAACCGTCCCTACTCGGCTTCTAGGGCTCCTGCGGCAGGGGGGGGGCGGCC